AGACCATTTTTTGCACTCTCCTCTTTCACCCTCATTAAAAGGTTCTTTAATTCCTCCTCACTTTCTGCCATCAGAGTGGTATCATCTGCATATCTGAGGTTGTTGATATTTCTTCTGCAATCTTAATTTCAGCTTGGGATTCAACCAGTCTTGCCTTTCGCATGATGTATTCTGTATATAAGTTAAATAAGCAAGGAGACAATATATAGCCTTGTCGTACTCCTTTCCCAATTTTGAACCAATCAGTTATTCCATATCCAGTTCTAACTGTTGCTTCCAGTGCCACATATAGATTTCTCAGGAGATAGATAAGGTGGCCAGGCACTCTCATTTCTTTAAGGACTTGCCATAGTTTCTTGTGGTCCACACAGTCAAAGGCTTCTGCATAGTCAATAAAGCAGGAGTAGGTGTTTTTCTGGAACTCTCTAGCTTTCTCCATAATCCAGCGCATGTTAGCAATTTGGTTTCTAGTTCGTCTGCCTCTTCAAAATCCAGCTTGTACTCCTGGGAGTTCTTGGTCCACATAATGCTGAAGCCTACCTTGTTGGATTTTGAGCATAATCTTGCTAGCGTGTGAAATGAGTGCAATTGTATGGTAGTTGGAGCATTCTTTGGCACTGCCCTTCTTTGGGATTGGGATGTAGACTGATTTTTTCCAGTCCTCTGGCCAATGCTGAGTTTTCCAAACTTACTGGCATATTGAGTGTAGCACCTTAACAGAGTCATCTTTTAAGATTTTAAATAGTTCCACTGGCATGACATCACGTCCATTGGCCTTGTTAGCCATGTTTTTTATTTGGTTTTACTCTGTTTTAAATTGACTGTTCCTGGTGGTTTAACTAAATCCCAACTCTGTTAGAGGCAGGCCATGCCACTGGACAGTCTTCCCTCCCCCAGCAAAAAATAAACTTTTTGAGTTTCAAAACGGCAGAAAGGAAGAAGGAGGGGCCCCCAAATGGCCTGTGACTGTCCTCCGTTTTAAGAGATGGGCCATAAATTCCAAACTGCTGAATGAAGAGAAGCTTGAAATCAACACGCATGCTGTAGCTATTTCTATCTAAGAAGCTAACCTGGCCTCTACACCTCAGCCATGTGAATTTGGGGCATTAATAACACCACGTAGGTTTGGAACTGCCCACAAGAACTTGATGCACAGCTTTGAAGAAGACGATTTATCATTGAAAGCTAGTTGTTTGCTTTTTTTTAAAAAAAAAAAATCTTAATGGTCAATTAAAGGTATCACCTGCTCCTGCATTTGTATTGTATCAGGAAAAGTAACTGCTGCAGGAGGCATTTGCTTGATTCTGTGACAGTAATTCAAAAGCTGGCTCATGGAATCACCACTGGTCAGATACGAATGAATGGATAATTCAATTCAGATTAAATTTAATAGTTTGAAAGTGTAATATGAGCAACTGTGGCCCTTCAGATGTCACTGAACTGCAAGTTTCACCAATCAGGTGGCACAGAAAATATTGAAGGATCATGGGAGCAGAAATCCGTTAAAAATTCCACAATTAATTATGGAAGGACACATTGGCTTCCCCAATCTTGTATGTTGAGTCTCCCCCATCACAAACATTTCCATTGTTATATAGTTCCCACTGTTAAGATTTACCATATGAAAAGGGATTAAGGTTTGTCAATCTTTATTCAGAAAGATCTCTTGTCTCTGAGCTACCTGATAAAGTTCTGCTCCAAGATCCAGCCCTTTCTAAGCAAGTTTCTCATAAGTCTCAGATGCAACCTTGTTGAAGTTCCAAGGAAAGCAAGGCACTTCCTATAAGATAAAAGTGCAACTGCCGTCTATTAAACACAGCTAGAGTTTTCTTTTCAAATGTTTTCTCTAGCTGTTAAGTATTGCATAAGATGAGAAAATTACAGTGGTGCCTCGCACAACGAGCGCCTCACACAACGATAAATTCACACAACGATGGCTTTTCCTGAAAAATTTGCCGCCTCACACACCGATGTTTCCTATGGGGAATTTTCGCACAACGATGTCCCTTTTCGCTCCTGTAAAAGTGCCTTAAACTGTCTGAAACCTGTTTTACATGCTTGCAATCGTTAGCCCACCTCCTGAACACTATGCAAACTTAATTTGGTGTTGTTCTGAGGCGTCGTTAATTTTTGGTGAATTTTTTTATTCTCCATTGAAAGCGATTCTCAATGGCTTTCAATGGAGAAAACAAAAAATCACCAAAAATTAACGACGCCTCAGAACAACACCAAATTAAGTTTGCATAGGTTTCAGGAGGTGGGCTAACGATTGCAAGCATGTAAAACAGGTTTCAGACAGTTTAAGGCACTTTCACAGGAGCGAAAAGGGACTTCGCAAACCCATTCAAATGCATTGAGTCGGCTTCAATGCATTTCAATTGGGGAACCGTGTTTCCCTCAACGATGTTCCCTATGGGGATTTTTGCTTAAGGACAGCAATCCGTTCCAATTGGAACGGATTAACCAGTTTTCAATGCATTCCTATGGGAAATGGTGTTTCGCAGAACCATGTTTCACAGAACGTTTTTTTTTGAACCAATTAACATCGTTGTGCGAGGCACCACTGTACTTTCAACACTGACAAACTCCCTTTCAGAAAGATCTATGAGAGTGACACTGCTTCCATATTCGGATACTGCAGCCTCTTACATGACAGGAAGCTTTCTGTTTTAGGGAGTGATATTGATGGTTCGAAAGAACTTGCAATAAAACAAGCTGGCAAGGAAAAGAGAATGAAGGAACCCACAGAGTGAACTCAGAAAGAAGGAATAAAAAAGGAACATGTTTTTACTTCCTATCTATGCTTGGGAATGAGTGTACAGCAAAGATGAGAGAGAGAAGACAGAAAAGATTCTGAAGGGCAACAAAATGGAGATGCTTACAGTATAGCGGTTCAGTAGATAAGATTAAAGGGATTCTATCAGATTTGGATAAGAGAAGAGATTGAAATCAAGCCTTTGAAATCCAGATAACTTCAACACAGTAAAGATATAGTTGTCAAATCCAGATCTGACAGATGTATTCCATTCCAAGAAAGGGAAAGCCCAGTAGCCAGAAACAGAAAGCAAAATGATATTTCCAATTTATAGTTACTGTTCCTTATTAGTATATGGTTTTAAAAAAACACAAATAGAATATATAGTATACTATTAAAATGACACAGCCCGAGAACATCTAGTTATCAGGGATAATCACTGATATTTTAAAACTGGCTGAACACATCTTGCCAAGTACCTGGAGGCAAAGGGATGTCATGCTTATTCTAGTCATCTGTTCAAGCCTTTCACCCTTTCCTGCCCTATAATTCTAGGGCCAGAACCAAATTTAAATGTCTACAGATCCATCCTCATCCATTTTGCTTTCTCATGATGCAGACACTATGACTCCAATGTGAAACCAACCTTTCTCCCTTCTTATTTTTCTACTCTTGGCCACCTGCTTTTTGAACATCATGCCTCATTAATCAATCTGGGGCCCTCCAATGTCCGTCATTCCCTCCCGGAAAAACTCTGAAGTGGCCTTAAAATGGTATAATGTTCATATAGATTCTGGTGGCTTAAAGGCAGGAGCTGCTAGTATGATGTAGTCCATACAATAGAGTGATGGCCACGAACACAAAAGAACTGAATTCAAATTCCTGCTTAGCCATGCAGACTCTCTGGGGGATGGCACTAGTAAAACTACTCCTTAAGTAGTTCAAACACCTGAAAACTTTTTTAAAGTTATGAAAAACTGGATGTGACTTGATGGCACAAAACACATACAGCTAAAGATAACTATGAATTACATGCATGTGAGTGATGGAGGAGGAGCAGAATGTTCTGCTCTATGCTCAACACAGAAATCCAGTAGACTGCTAGAGAAAGGGGGGGGCTTCTCCTTGCAGAAATTCAGCCCTCAAACCTGGATCTGCTAGCCTAAACAGACTAGTAATTTCTGTGGGCTATATTTTCAAGGTTGATTTCATCTTGCATAATATATGAAACAAGTCTCAAATATGAGCCTGAAACAGGACCATCCACACAAAATAGGTGGGAGGCCCTACTTTTCTACTTCTTATAGGCCTTCCTCCCCATCCCCTGTCCATCTAGGTTTACAATATGCAGAACTATAGAGAAGAGAAAAACAGTTGTTCAGGCCCTTGCTGGAAACAGCTTCTGATGGACATTGTGTTCTGATCAGTGTAGATTATTAAACAAGTAAAAATGGCACTTGTTCAATTATATGTTTGATGGGTTTGAGGCAACTGAGATGATATTCATTCCAATATATAGTCTTGACATTTTAGTGAACTTGTAGCAAAAAAGGTACAGTAATTGTTAAAAATCATGAAAATGTTCCATAGCACAAGGCAAAGAAAATCTGACCACAACAATTGGAAGTGAAAGAACATACCCAGCCTACTTGTAGCCTATTTTCTCAATCTAATTTTGCAATGTCCATTGTAGGCTGAATCTCCTCTCCCATAACAAATTGTTATGACTTACTGTAGAGTCTGTCCCTATGTCTAGATTTTTACTTCTCTGAGCTTTAAGTCTGTTCTTAGAACAGAATCTTTCTACAGGAGCAAGGCAATTGAAGATTGAATATTTTGCAGATCATTCATTTATGATGGGTGACAGGCAACTTGACGGCACATAACAATAACAGGAGTATAGCGCTTTCAGTGTTTCTCCACCCCCATCCTCTTCAGGTGTACAAGCAATGGATCAGCAATCCCAAGAGGTCTCGAGTCAAAGCAGTACGTGGGGCTTACACAACCTGTGTACTGTGATATTAGCTTCAACGCCCTTCTGAAAAGTTATTGCAATTAAGAAATCACAGATTGGAGAGCTGATGATTCTGCTCCATTGCACAGAGCAAGTGCACTGATCCAAAAGGCTGGGCAAAGTAAGGAAACAACAGACAGAACAAGAACAAAAATGGAAGTCAGATAATTTTGGTACTCTGAGGATCAAATAATGACGTTTAAGTACAAAAGCTGTGCTATCTATGCTCACCATTAGTGCATCCGGCTTCATCAATTCCATTTTCACAGTCTTTTTCTCCATCACATCTCCATGAAGAAGGAATACATTTATTGCTGGAGTCTCCACAGCTAATTTTTTCAGCTAGGCATACTAGTTTGGCTAGAAAAGAAAACCCACAATCAATCAATCAGTTAGTCAGTATTTTCAAATAAATATACACTTAAAACCTGCCATTCCAAGAGTACACCACTAATTGTGCAAAACTGAATTCTGAAGGTACGAGATTCACAATGATAGTACCCATAGCTGTGTGAGTCATAACAATAATTCCAGTAGTTTACCCACCAAGATCACACCAACATACCTTTTGTAAAGCTAGTGAGATTTAACAGCCCATTCAAGACCATGGGACTTTGAATTACAACAGGAACTGCTCATAACAGTACATTGCTCCTGGCCAAAACCTATTCGTTTCTTAAGCTACTGTAAGGAGTGCAGCTAAAGTCCAAGGAAACAAATAAAGCATATGTTTTTGTGCACGCATGCATGTGTGTGTTGGCAGATTATAGGATCACTTCTGTTAAGTCTTAGCCCCACAATCCTGTGAACTTTGACTCCAGTACACCAATTAGTACCACGTATTAATTGGCCACATTCAGTGTTGTCTTTCTTTGGACAGTAATTAAATCTTAAATGGACAGCTCTGTTACGAGAACAAAATGAATTCCTCAAACAAACATATGAAACCTTCATACAATACACTTTCAGAGGAGCTCTGCTTCCCAGAATGATGAGACATCACCCAGATATTATGCAAATAATTTTACTGACACATTTTTAAGTATTTATTGGTTTGGTCTATATTTTTACTATGTGAAGTTGTAAACTATGTAAATAGTGCTGTGAAGGAAAACTCTCTTACAAACTCTGCAGGCTCAAGAACCTCAAAGCTGCAGTATATTATACAAGATCATGAACAGTTATAAATGAGAAAAAGGAATTGCAGCTAAACCCATGGGCCTGCATACAACTGGAAAAAAGGTAATTAAGACAAGCAATTCTTAATTCTTGATGTAGAAGGACAGATCCTGAAGCTGAGGCTCCAATACTTTGGCCATCTCATGAGAAGACAAGACTCCCTGGAAAAGACCCTGATGTTGGGAAAGTGTGAGGATAAGAGGAGAAGGGGACGACAGAGGACGAGATGGTTGGACAGTATCATCGAAGCTACCAACATGAATTGGAGTCAGGAATTAACTAGGGGGGGGGAAGGCCTGCCGAAACATCAGTGTTTTTAGTTGCTTTTTGAAAATACCCAGCTAAACAACAACAAATTCTTAATGGACACACAAAAGCCTCCCCCAGAAAAAGGGAAGATATGGATCACACAGGCAACCATGATATGCAATTCTCTTTTCCAAATTTTACACCATTGAAACTATCAATGACTACAGGAGCACAGTTACTCCCGAATCACAGTAATATAAGAAGCAATAGACAATTATAGATATCGTGCAAGTCAACATACTACTAGGTGTTAAAGACACAAGTCCTATTCAGCCTCAGAACATTTGCTTGCTTAGGCAGTGGTCACCAACCTTGGGCCTCCAGGTGTTTTTGGACTACAACTCCCAGAAGCCTTCACCACCACCTTTGCTGGCCAAGATTTCTGGGAGTTCAAGTCTAAGAACATCTGGAGGCCCAAGGCTGGGGACCACTGGCTTAGAGGGAGCACCTAGCCCTGCCTTTCGCTGTTGTTGGCTTCTTCACCTGATGACAGTTGAATCTGAAGACAAAAGATTTGTGATCCTATGAACAAGAACCCAGATTTTCTAATGCCTGAATAAAGCTATAAATACACTCAGAAGATAACTCTGTTTTGGGTGGCAGCAGTTATTGCTAGGGAGTGTCTGGGATTTTTTTTAAAATGAAATTTCCTGGTAAGCATTGCAATAAGCTTCAGCTTCTCACTCTAAGAGAAAAAGTGTGCTGTTCATTAACTTTCCATAAACATCACCAAACCTTCTTGCTTTTCTAGGCTGCATTGCAGAAGGTAAGGTTGCTGTCTTTGGAAAGTAATAATGCTTGCCCTTAAGGCACACATGTTTATGTCTGGCTGGGAGGCCATTTGAATTCCTGGGCTCCTGCCTTCCAGAGCTGGGTCTGTCTGAGCTGCTCGCTTCCCGGCCAGACTCTGGGAGGCAGAGCCCGGCTGGAAAGCGAGCAGCAGGGACGGACCCAGCGCTGGGAGCTAGAGCCCGGCTGGGAGCCAAGAACCCATCCTGGCTGGGCAGCAGTGGAAGCCCAGGAGGCCTCCTGGAGGTCTCTCGCTGACGGCAGTCACGGCGGCAGCAGAGCCCGGGAGGCTTCAAGAGGAGGCTTTGTGGCGAGGTAAGGTGCTGCTTTTTGCATTTAAAAAACTGTTTTGGGTCACTTTTGCAGGGTGGGATTGGGCTAGTGGGGTTATGTTTACGCTTATTTGTTTTGTTTTTTGCAGCCCCAGGGGCTTGCAGTGGTTTATTTTTGTTTTGTTTTGAAATGCTGGAATGGATTAATCCCGTTCCCATGCATTTCAATGGGAAATGGTGCTTTGATTTACGAACGTTTTGATTTACAGACACCATTCCGTTACGGATTAAGTTCAATAAGTCAAGGCACCACTGTATATCAGTCATTGCGATATACAGCTAATTGGCAGGAAGGTTATGCAGGAACTGCAGTAAAATTTTGGATCCTACCATAGGCATGAAACATGTTGAACAAATAAGAATAGCAAGAACACAAAAAGACACAACGTTAATTATATAAAGGAATTAGACACATTTTAAAAGTAAACAAACTAAAGCTACTACGTAGCTGCCAGCATACATCAACTACAGCCATGAGAATTAAATACAAGTGCCCTGGACTATCTCTAAAATGCCTTTTCAGCTTCACTTTAAACTATGAAACACAAAGTTTGGAAGAAGAACGTCAGCAGCTGACAAATCAATGCAAAGGTAATGGACAAACCAGCCAGTGTGATTTTTGGATTGTTTCATTTCAAAGCAAGTTTTGATGCAATATGAACAGCAGACCATGAAAAAACTTGCCCTTTTGCAAGAGTACCTTCCAGTTCCGTAACGTTTAAACGCTTGTGAACTTGTGTACATAACATTTTATCTTTTGTTTTGGTTTCCCCTGGCCTGGGAATTAAAGGGGAGTTAACCTGGTACGTGATAGTGATTGCTGTCAAGGCTGTTAAGGTCTGTGTGCATGCAAAATAAGGGAAGATGGATATTTCTAGAACAGCCCATTGTAAAAAGGCTTGGTTAAAAATGTCAGACACATCAGGCCCAATTTGTCACAATGAAGTGCAAATGCCAAGAATGGACAACAATGCTGTATTTATACAGAGACAAGAGCAAAGACGACAGGATGGTTCCACTGACTCGCCACAACCAATGGCCCTTTCATTCTTCTTGTTTTCTTTACACCCCAACACTACCAATTCTTTCACAAAAATTGAAGAGCCTAACAGGCGCCCCGCTGGTTGGCTTCCTTTTTTGCCACTGCTGAGCTTTTCAGGCAGGAAGTATTATGCACATTCGAAGAAAAGAAGAGATAACAGAATGGACTTGCTTTCACAAGGCCATTTGTCATCATACAGGTACTCTGGGACCAGACACAAAATAGAATTCAGCCGCTCCTTCTTGTGGGAAACCTACAGATCTTTTCATTTGCTGGCTAGACAGCTTCCGGGAGTGTGAAAAAGGCCTCGTTTTTGTGGAAATGTGTCTTCTCCCACTATGGGGCCCACTTTCCCACTATCTCCATGTTAAGAACCTCCAACACTAATCTTCATTGCTACCAAGAACATGGATTAGCCCATAAAACCAGCTATTTTGCTGGGTGGTGGTGGTAAACAAATATTGAGAGTGGCACACCATCAAAACCCAGCAAAGTTCTTGAGACTGGTCTATACTTACCATAAATCTCAGGGCACTGAATTATTATTCGACATGATCTAATCCTAAAAAGTTACGTCCTCTTGCATCTTAGATAAAATTTGTTTGGCTTAGTTCCCACTTAAATGGGAAGGCTGACACCCTCTTCAAAATTGTCAACAAAGCATACATTTCTGTCCATTCCTCCCTGGTAATCAAGTGCCACTCATGCTATTCTCAGGGGTGCACATTCACATACCAAGCCAGTGTGTGCATACACTATACACTTCGTTTACCAGGGAGAAAGTTATGCTTTGGCTTATGCTACAAGCAGATTTCAGCCACTGGTTTTTCGGTGGAACTAACTGTTCATATTCATTTCAGTTATGCATAAGAACAAGTGTTTAACCTGATCAGTCCTGTTTAGTTTAAGCAGTAGCACAACATGTAAAACTAAGGTTTATCACCAGGCATTTAATATGGCATCACTGGCTCCTTCAACATTCTGACCAAGGAAATCACAAACATTATATATCACATACTAGTATGAAAGGCAGAAAATTCTAGAAGATTGTGCCAACTTACAGGCTCAGTCACCGGATCAGGACTGCTAGGAGAGTGCCGGTGGTGGGGTTTTTGTTCTTCACACACCCTGCCCTGAGGCTCCCAAAGTCTTCCCCAGGACCAAAGGGAGCCCTAGGGAGCTTTGGAAATGAAAACCAGGATGCGGGAAGCATGTAATTCATTTAAATTAAAATTTAACAGCAGAAGTTGATGTCATCAGCTTCAGCCACATAAAATTATGTGAACAGTATTTTAGCCACGGTATCAAAGGAAATAGGTTACGGGCCGTGAAAGCTAATGCCAAGCAAAACTTTGCAATCTTTGAGGTACAAGCTTATTTTTGCTGCATTGGCCTACAAAGCAATGTAAAGGCAGGCCTTCCTTGAGTTTTCAGCAAGACCAGGTCAGAGCAAACAATTCCTTAACTATCTCATTAGATTTAGAACATCCTTCATTACATATATTCTCAGGACTACTTCACACATAAAATGTCTCACTCACAGATTACAAGCATGCACATAACTTATAAAGACCACACATGACTCTATTCTGCCATGTATAAGCACCTGTACAGTAGTTTTTGGCATAGGTGCCCAAACATTGTAAAGCAAAGTAAGATGGCAATTTTAACTCATGATGAAGACCACAAGTGTTGTATGAAAGAAGAAA